ACAATGATGGTTAAGTCTCGGGGAAATTTCAAATTTTGCATGACTTTTTTTTTTGTTTTTTTTTTGGTTGCGTGTCATCCTTGTGCAGGGGCCCATGCTAATCTTCTCTGTATCGTTCCAATTATAATGGATGTCCCGAAGGACGATTTTGCATGACTTCTAGCTGGGCTCTTTGGTCCCAAACGAAAGACCCAGTAGGTCTCAAACAAACGACCAAGAGGGCTCCAAAGCCGCTGCTAGGTCCTTCGTTTGGGACATACTTGTGCAAAAGCAGGCACTTGTACTCGTCAATCAACTCTCAAGGAAAGCTGTTTTGAATTTTTGACTGTTTTTTCCCCAAGTCGAAGAGCTGGGCTACATAGGGTTCTTCCCATAGTTGTGGCGCACCTCGGTGCGCGGATTTGCGCACGCATTGCGCACCGCACAGCGCACCCAAACGCACTGCACTGTAAAAATTAGGTCCAAAAAAAAAAAAAGAAAGTAGGGGTTTTGTCATTCCTTAGGGTTCCCAACTCGGCAAAAATGTTAAACGCACCGCGCGAGCTTGCAAACTGGCCGCGCCCCCGGCCCAAACTTTTTTTTTGGGCAAGGGCTGCTGAATTTCAATTTACGCAGGCCCTACCTCCAGAAGTTTCAAAATGGCAAAGCATAAAATAGGGCTCATTCCAACTTTTTTCTTAGGCGGGGTATGGAAACTGGCCTTCCCCCTCCCCTCTGCAATCCCACGCAGTGGTGGGGTAAGTTCACAAGAAGGGGGTAGTCGCCTAGTAACGACCTGCCCCGCGAACTTCGCAGAAGTCACAACTTCCATTTCCACGGCTGGCCGACCACCAGTATATGCTGAAGATTGGTGTTCAGGTCTGCATGTCGGCAGTTATGGGTTAGGATGAAGATGCCTGTAGCTCTCTCGGTTTTCTGTTTTTGTTTTCTTATGAATATGTGCAGTGGGGCCTGCTCTACTGCTCACCACATGCACAAAAGAATTAGCATATGGCGGTGTATGGTCCCATGTTTTAGCAGAAGATTCGTTCTACTAATATTATATACATTTGGTGAGTGGTGGAGGGAGCTCTAGTTTTTTTGTTTTTGTTTTCTTACGCATGCGTACAGTGGGGCCTGCTTCACTACTCACCACATGCACAAAAGACATATAGCATATGGCGGTGTATGGTTCCATGTTTTAGCAGAAGATTCATTCTACTAATATTGTATACATTTGGTGAGTGGTGGAGGGAGGCCCTGAGAA